GCATCAAAGAATCTCCATATGGAGTTTGCTTTTTTTTTTTTTTTTTTTTTTTTTTTTGGTTTTTCGAGACAGGGTTTCTCTGTGTAGTTTTGCGCCTTTCCTGGAACTCACTTGGTAGCCCAGGCTGGCCTCGAACTCAGAACTCACAGAGATCCGCCTGGCTCTGCCTCCCGAGTGCTGGGATTAAAGGTGTGCGCCACCACCGCCCGGCTTGGAGTTTGCTTTCAATGTGGCAAGCTAGCTATTTGGACATGAAACTGCCCTTTTCTCAACTGCTGGCAGTATACTGTCCAAATTGGACAAGCAGGACACAAAAGAAAGCAACTGCTGAACTCTGCCAAGACAAGGGAGAACAGTTCTTCCAAATTCCTGCTTCACATAAAAGTCTGTCAGATATTCTAGACCTGTAGGCCAAAGATGGATGCCCCAATGTTGCAGAGGAACCCTGGGGTGACTGTTCAGTCAGGCAGATGTCTGTGTAATTTCTTAGTTTTAGAAGTTGATTGCTCTGTATTCCTGTTTAGTCAGATAATAGTATATCCTTCTTGGGTCTTTGATGGGACTAAAGACTTGATAGTTATAGTTACAGTTGTCCTTGTTACCAAATTCAGAAAAGAAACTCACAAAAGAGGTATAAAGTATATAAGGTTGAGAGACATAAAAGCTTAAATTATTTATCTAAAAACATGTTTTGAAGTCTAAAAAGATAGTTTTTGGTTGGTTATACAAGTTAGGATAGAAAGTAAATCAGGTATAAAACTTTGGACTCACCAAGTTAGGATAGATAATTTTCTTTTGAATTTGACAATACTAATGGACATTGTGAATGTAATTCTTACCTGATAATTATTCTTTTTTTTTTTTTTTTTTTTTTTTTTTTTGGTTTTTCGAGACAGGGTTTCTCTGTGTAGCTTTGCGCCTTTCCTGGAACTCACTTGGTAGTCCAGGCTGGCCTCGAACTCACAGAGATCCGCCTGGCTCTGCCTCCCGAGTGCTGGGATTAAAGGCGTGCGCCACCACCGCCCGGCTCTGATAATTATTCTTATTGTATATAGTTTTATTATGTTAGAATTAAAAACCTTTCCTTTTTATTTAGACAAAAAGGGGGAAATGTTGTGGGATATTTTTACACTGTTTGAAGATATATTGCTATGATTGGTTTAATAAAGTGCTGAATGGCCAATAGCTAGGCAGGAGGTATAGGCGGGACTTCCAGGTAGAGAGAGAAAGAGGAGGAGGAATCTAGGCAACTCAGGAGAAGTGAGTCACACAGAGGAAGCAGGATGAGCAGTATGGAGATAAGGTAAAAAGCCATGAGGCAAAATGTAGATTAATATAAATGGGTTAATTTAAGTTATAAGAGCTAGTAGGACAAGCCTAAGCTAAGGCTGAGCTTTCATAATTAATATTAAGTCTCTGTGTTGTTATTTGGGAGCTGACTGGTGGGACAGAGAAAGACCCATTACAGCTTAGCAGTTAAGAGTACTTGTTGCCCTTGCAGAGGACCCAGGTTCTCACAACCATTTCTAACTCCAATTCCAGGGGATCTAATGCTGTTTTTGAACTCTGAAGGTACCAGGCATATACATGGTGCACATGCAGGCAAACACATTCGTACATGTAAAGTAAAAAATAAATCTAAAATAAAATAATAAGTCAGGTAGTGGTGGTACACACCTTTAATCCCAATACTCAGGAGGCAGAGGCAGGCAGATCTCTGTGAGTTCAAGGCCATCCTGGTCCACAGAGTGAGTTCAAGGACAGGCTCCAAAGCTACACAGAGAAACCCTGTCTCAAAAAACCAAAATAATAATAATAATAATAATAATAATAATAATAATACCAACAATAATAAACTAATAAAAGACATCTTAAGCAGGCAGATATCTAAGTTGGAGGCTAACTTGGTCTAACTTAGAGAGTTTCAGGACAGCTAAGGCTACATAGTGAAATCCTGCTTCAGAAAGAGAGAGAGAAATCTTCAACAAGTATTACACAAATCAGAGTATTGTAAGAGTACACCACAGATTTACTTTCTGAGTCATTGTTTCATTTATTTATTTATTTATTTATTTATTTAGTTAGTTAGTTAGTTAGTTAGTTAGTTAGTTAGTTAGTTGAGACAGGGTTTCTCTGTATAGCCCTGGCTGTCCTGGAACTCGTTCTGTAGACCAGGCTGGCCTTGAACTCATAGAGCTCTGCCTGCCTCTGCCTCTGGAGTACTGGGATTAAAGGCATGCATCACCACCACCCAGCTTGTTTCATTTAAGATGTGAATGACAAATGTCTTGATGGATTGTGCAGATGAAGTAAAGTATACTTGTGGAATGGCAAATTGGCCATTGGTACATCAAGTAAGCATTGATTTCCATACACCAGTGACATTTTCAAGCCCCCCACCACAACCACTTTCTCTATTTCTTAAGTCAAAATGCTAGAGTTGACTTTAGTACCCCTCAAATTGAAGGGTCCAGAGACAGGGGAAGAAAAATATCCTGGATGATCTCACCTGAGCTCTGCTGGTTTCCCAAACAGGTCTTCCCACCCCTAGTCCCCAGTAAACTCCAACTCCTGTGGTTTACCAGTGGCCGGCAGGGTGTTCTGAGCTTTAGTCTACTGGCTAACTACTTTACCCCTACTGGCTAACCTGAAATCTAAATTCTCCTTCATCCCTGATGTGGCTTCAGGGAACTCAGCTTTCTCTACGCTCCTCTTGATCCCTTGGCCTTTCTCAGCCTGCCTGAGAAGTAGACAGTCTCTTCATTCCTTTTCTTTATCCATCTTGCTAAAGACAAATTCCTTGTCCTGTTTTGTGGGCTTTGATAGCAAGGACGGGACACAGCAGAGGGAAGTAACAAGGGAAGTGACAAACAAAGCTCAGGTCACAGTTTTTTGACTCTCTTGAGGAACGCAGTAGATGGAGGGAGTGGGTACAATGATCATGCCCGGTTCTCCAGGAGACTCCTTCCTTCCAGGCAGCTAGAACAATAGTCATCCTGTTTCTCTGACAGAACACCTTTGCATTTTTCAGATGGGTGGTACCCACCTGGCATAATCCCTTTTTGAGAAATTCCTCTTCTTCAGGAACAATTCAACTGTATAGATGTCCAAATAATTCAGTATTCCCTGTCTCCTCCTCCTCCTCCTTCTTTCCTCTCTTTCTCTCTCTCTCTCTCTCTCTCTCTCTCTCTCTCTCTCTCTCTGTCTCTCTCTGTGTGTCTCTGTCTGTCTCTCTGTCTCTGTCTCTGTCTCTGTCTCTGTCTCTCTCTCTCTCTCTCTCTGTTTTTGTGCAGAGACCCACCTTCTGTAGCCCAAGTGTCAGGATCAAATGTGAGTGCCACCATGCCCTGTCTCCTCTAATTTTCATCTTTGTCATTTACTTTCTATGCGTCCCTGAAAAGGTTACAATTTTAGCATAACTTAGATATGTGTCACACTTTTTAAATCTATGTAAGAATTCCCTGAGGCAGGCAATATCTCCCTTCATTTTATAGATTAAAAACACAGCCTCCATGTAGGAAAATAGGACTTAGCAGAGTCTTAATTTAAACCTTTATAAAATGAATCAGAATTATGTGACATCATCAGATTACTCTGGGTGTTAATTCTGCCCCATGCTCAACGGGGCAGTAACTTATGTTTATTTTACCTAGTGCTGTATTCGCATTGTCTGGCTCAGTGACTACTAGTTGAAGGGATAATTGGATGCAGTGTGTTTAACATAATCTCTAGCCTACAATAGTGCCTACCAGCTGGGCATGATGGCACATACAAGTAAGTGTTTAGGAGGTGGAACCAGGGAGACCGATTCATTTTTTGGCTATATAACAAATGAAGGATGGTCTCGGCTCAAAAACAAAAACAAAAACAAAAAACCAAAAAAAAAAAAAAAAACCAAACAAACAACAACAACAAAAAACAAACAACAACAACAAAAAAAAACACTCCACCACAATTTAATCTTTAAAAAATTTAAAAAGTGTTTTCCAAAGTCACAGCCATTAATTAATCATGATCAATCTTGATGCCTTACCTGAACTCCCAATACATCACAAATCTAGATCCTTTCTATTACTCCAGTATTGCTCAATCATACCTATTCCTCAGGTTCTGTTCAAGTTCACCCATCTAATAAGATGGTGAGGAGAGATGACTCAGTGTCCTTACTGCACCTGCAGAGGCCTCAGGTTTGGTTCCCAGAACCTACAAGGTGGCTCAAAACCACCTGTAACTCCAGCTTCAGGGGTCAGATGCCCTCTTCTGGCCTCCACAGGTCACAGGTACCAGGCACACAGGTAGTGCATAGACACACATGCAGGCAAAACACTCATACACGTAAACAATAATTAAATTCAAGTGTGACAAGGTGAGCTGGGTTTTCTGTGCACGTCTGCCTGGCTACCTCCCCGGTCTAGCTTCTACTTCTTCAATCTGTTCTCAACATTATCATTAGGATGATTTGATACCTGTAAATTTAGTCCATTTTGTTGTTTTGTTTCCGAGACTGGGTTTCATGTAGCCCAGGACTGGCCTCCTATTCATTCTGTAGCTAAGGATGACCTTGAACTCCTTATCCTCTTGCCTCTACCTCCTGAGTACCGGGATCATTGAGTACATTATAATACCTAACATACGTAGTTGATCTTGGTGTAATTTTTTAATGGCTCTGATGTTCTTTATAAAGTCAATATTTATTGAGCGTATTATGCTAGACACTATTCTGATTGCTTTATATACATTAAATCATCTACTTTTTTTAGACAGAGCCTTACTCTGTGACCAGGCTGGCCTGGAATTCACTCTATAGGACATGTTGGTCTTGAACTGATAGCCATTCTGCTCTATCAGCCTTTCAAGTACTGAGATTTCAGGTGGGAGCTCCCGTACAGCTTTAGCTCATCTGAGCTCTATGGAACCCTTCCTTTTTCAGAGGAAAAGCTAAGGCCAGAGGGAGATCAAGGCCAGGCAGGCTAAGTGACTTGCTTAGAAGTCACACACCAGTGCTCGCTTTGGCAGCACATACACAAAAATATGAATGCTACAGAGAAGATTAGCATGGCCCATGCGTAAGGATGAAATGCGAATTCGTGAAGCATTTCATATTAAAAAAACAAAAACAAAAAAAAACTCACACACCAGAGCTCAGATATGAATGTAGGCAGTCTGAAGCAGCCCGCTTGCTTCTTGCCCTCCCAAACTGCGCCTCTGCACAGCCTCATTGGCTGCTTCTAGGCGATTACTTTTTTATGCTTCCTCACCTACACTTGTACAATTCCTTCTCAAGACATTACTGAATTATGAATTATCTCTCTCTTTTTTTTTTTTTTGGTTTTTCGAGACAGGGTTTCTCTGTGTAGCTTTGCGCCTCTCCTGGAACTCACTTGGTAGCCCAGGCTGGCCTCGAACTCACAGAGATCCGCCTGGCTCTGCCTCCCGAGTGCTGGGATTAAAGGCGTGCGCCACCACCGCCCGGCTGAATTACCTCTTCTTATACAGAGTAGGAAGTGGTTATTTTGAATAGATGCTCAGTAATGTTGAGTGAATGAATGAAGAGTCACAGTAAGATTCAAGAAATGGGGGCTGGAGAGATGACCCAGTGGTTAAGAGCACTGGCTGCTCTTCCAGAGGTCCTGAGTTCAATTGCCAACAACCATATGGTGGCTCACAACCACCTATAATGAGATCTGGTGCCCTCTTCTGGCCTGCAGGGATACATGTAGGCAAAACATTATATACATAATAATTAAATAAATCTTAAAAAAAAAAAAAGATTCTGAGGCCAGCCTGGTCTACAGAGCAAGTTCCAACCAGGGCTACACAGAGAAACTCTGTCTCAAAAAACAAAGAACAAGCAAACAAACAAAAAGAAGTGGGGTTGGGTGGCTGGAGAGATGGCTCAGTGGTTAAGAGCTATTGCTCTGCTCTCCCAGAGGACCTGGGTTCAGTTCCCAAATGGCATCTCACAACCATCTGCAACTCCAGGTCAGGAGATCTGATGCCCTCTTCTGGCTTCTATGGGCAGGACCAGGTATGAACTCAGTGCACACACATTCAGGCAAGCAGAAGACTCATGCATATAAAATAAAATAAATAAACCTTAAAAAAAAGAATAAAAGAAGTGGAGCTTGGAGGCAGAGGCAGGAGGATATCCATGAGTTTAAGGCCAATCTGGTCTACATAGTGAGTTCAATCCCCAGGACCCACACAGGAGGAGAGAACTGACTCCCAAAAGCTGTTTTCTGACCGTCCAGGTATACCATAGCTCCTATGGGTAAGGGTAAGTACACACACACAAATGTATTTTTAAGAAAAAGATTCAGGGGCTGGAGATGGCTTAGTAGTTAAGAACATTTACTGCTCTTTCAGGGGACCAGAGTTCAGTTCTCATCACCCACCCTGGGTGGCTCACAACTTTCTATAATCCAGTTCCATAATCCAGCTTCAGGGGATCTGATTCCCCTTTTGGCCTCTGCAGACAATCACACACATTTGGCATATATACAGAAACACATACATACATATATATAATCAAATAAAAACATCAAGAAGCAATTCTGGAACCAGAGAGGATTCTGTTTGGAGAAGCTAAGCTAAGCAGCCAGACATGGATCATTTCTCAGTAACAACTGTACTTCCTATTTTGGACACCAGGGAGTGCCACTACTAAAGCATGCCAGACAAGGATTGCTAAACCTTTCCAAGCAGATCTAGAACGTGTGTGTGTGTGTGTGTGTGTGTGTGTGTGTGTGTGTGTGTGTGTGTGTGTGTGTAGGGTCCTGTGAGTGGAACCCAGATTATTGGGAACATATGCCAGGCAAGTGCTCTACCACTGAACTGTATCGATCCAGACCTCTTCTATCTTTGTGTTGAGACAGTATCTCATACAGCCCATGCTGGCCTTCTAACTGGCTCTGTAGCTAAGAATGGCTTTGAAGCCCTGACCCTCCTTTGTTCACATCTCTTGAGTGCTCATATCAGCTGAGTGTCACCACCTGACTGATGTCATTAAAATTTTTGAACATATATACAATGGGATTGCATTCACTGTAAAGAAGAAATTACAACATTTGCAGGATAATACATAGGATGAGATCATCATATTAAGCAAAGCAAACCAGACTCAGAAAGACAAGTATTGTATAATTGTTTTCATATGCAATCTATATCTATATCTATATCTATATCTATATCTATATCTATATCTATATCTATGTAGAACATGAAAGTACAAAGGGGTCAGAGAGTGGTGGAGGAAGGACTTGGGAGGACAGGAGAGAAGAATTGAATATACATCACATGAAAGCAGAAGGCGTATCATTTGGGGAAGGAAGGGACTAGCAAGAAGGGAAGAGGCTAGGGAAGGACAGGAGGGGGCTAATAAGAACAACATATGATATTTCTGTAGGAAAATGATAAATAAAATACACTACTTTGTATGCTATCTAAAAAACTTACCAAAAAACAAAAAAAGGGGGCTGGAGAGATGGCTCAGCGGTTAAGAGCACTGGCTGTTCTTCCAGTGATCTCCTCTTCCAGAGGTCCTGAGTTCAATTCCCAGCAACCACATGGTGGCTCACAACCATCTGTAATGAGATCTGGCGCCCTCTTCTGGCATGCAGGCAGAACACTGTATACATAATAAATAAATCTTTAAAAAAAAAAAAACAAAAAAAAACAAACAAACAAAAAAAAAAAAACAAAAAAAGTATACGACAAAAGTTTAAATCCAGGTTCTCTAGCCTACACCAAAGTCTGGTTTTGTAGGACAGCCGCTGGGTAAACACTGCAATCTGGAAACCTCAAAGCATTTCAGGGTAACCTAAATTCAGGATAAAAAATTATAGTAATTAATCTACTCTCGCAAGATTCCCGAAAGTTGTTTGCATCCATGTACCATTTCTCAGGTACCATTATATTCCTTCTCAGGTCTTTGATGGGATTGAAGACTAGCAGTTATAGTTACAACTTACTAGATAGAACATATTAAGTATTAGATTCAGGTTCTTTATGATAGGACACCTTTTGGAAGGATCTTTGTAACATGCCATTTACCTATGCTCTATACTTCTCTGGACTTTAGTATGTGTTTCTTGCTTGATATTGTTTGCATTGGTTGTACTTCCATCTTATCTAGGTCATTATCCCTCATTATTCCTGGACAATATTTGATAACCATTCCTTTGTATATAGTCTTGTATTAGGTTAGAACTTTCTTATTTAGACAAAAAGGGGGAGATGTAGTGGGTAGCCATTCCAGCTTTGATCTGGAAGTTCCAACCCCCATTGAGACTTCGGCAACTGTCACGCCTACAAGGCGGGGCCAAGGGAGGCGCCGGGGGACCCGAGATCTGGATCGGCGGGCGCTCTCTCTGTTGCGGGACCCTGGACTGGAGAGGTGGACTGAGCAGAGCTCCAGAGAACACCGCTGGACTGTGATACACCTTCCCCAGACTCCACGACCTACCTATTCCTTAATTTGTAAGTTACGCCATTAAATAAATCTCCTTTTAACTACGTGGAGTGGCCTTAATAATTTCACCAATAAAAAATAACACCATACTGGGTGTAGTGGCCCACGTCTTTAATCCCATCACTTGGGAGGCAGAGGCAGATGGATCTCTGAGTTCAAGGCCAGCTTGGTCTACAGAGTGAGTTCCAGGACAGTCAGGTCTACACAGAGAAACCCTGTCTTAAAACAAAACAAAACACAAATAAAATCTTTCTTTTCTCTTTCCCTTTTTAATATTGTTTCTCTGTGTAGTCCTGGATATCTTAGAACTCACTCTGTAGACCAGGCTAGCTTTGAACTGCCTGCTTCTGCCTCCCAAGTGCTGGGATTAAAAACATGTGCCATCACTGCCCAGCTAATATATATATATATATATATATATATATATATACAATTTTTTTTATAGGCATTGGTGACTTTGCTTTCATGTATGCCTGTGTGAGGATGTCAGATCCCTTGGAACTGGACAGTTTTGAGGTGCCACGTGGGTACTGGGAATTGAACCCTGATCCTCTGGAAGAGCAGTCAGTGCTCTTAACCACTAAGCCATCTCTTCAGTCCCCTGGCTAAAATCTTAATATTTAATATTATTTTGAGATGGGGGCTTCATTATGCTTCCCAGGCTGGTCTCAAAATCCTGGACTCAAGTCTTCCTGCCTTAGCGTTCTCTGTAGTCATGACCATGGGTACATACTGTAGCACGTGGCTTTGTGGTGCTGGGAGTTGTGCGTGCTAGGCAAGTGCTCTACCACTGACCTCCATCCTCAATCTTGGAAAGATTTTTAAGTGTACAGGCCAGCCATGTTAAGTATTACACGCTCACACAGTGGCAAGTGGCACAACTAATTGCCACAACTCTTCCTCTTGCAAAACTTAAACGTGCCAATGAACAGCTCACGGCCCTCCTTCCGCTAGCTTTAGCAACTCCTGTTCTCTAGTCTGTCTCTGTGAATTTGACTCCTTTAGGAAACTATATAAATGGAATCATGTTTTTTTTTTTCTTTCACAATTGGTTTTACTAACATATTGTTCCAAAGATCCACCTATATAGTATCATGTGCTGCAATTTCGTTTCTCTATTTGTGTGTGTGTGCACATGTGTGTGCACATGTGTGTGCATGTCATGGTATGCATGTGGAGGTCAGAGAATGACTTGTGTAAGTTGGTTTGCACCTTCCACCATGTGGAGTCTGAGGATTGAACTCAGGTCGTCAGGTTTGGCAGCAAGCAGCAAGCACCTTTATTTGCCAGCTCTTTAATTTCTTTTTCGTTTTTTTAAAGACTCACAATAATACTGTATTTTGTTTATTCCTTCACCTATCCGTGTATCCTTGTGTTGTTTCCACTTTGTAGTTGTTTTAAATAACATGACTGTAAACATGGGTGTATAAATATTTCTTCCAGACCTAGCTTTTATTTTGAATCTAAACCCAGAGGTAGAATTACTAGATTATTTGGTAGTTCAGTTACTATTTTTAAAAAAATCACTTGATAAATGTATTTGAAGTTTTTTTTTTTTTTTTTTTTAACTTTTTTTGTAGTTTAGGCTGGCCTCAAACTCACTAAATAGTTAAGGATGACTTTGAATTTCCTAATCC